AGTACCACGACCCCTTCTGAAACCAGCCTGGACTTCTGGTAGTTCTCTGTTGATGTGCTGTTCCAGTCGTTTTTGGATAATCTTCAGTAAAACCTGATTTTCTCAGGTTTCGCATTAGCACAATCAAATGTTCCGGGATTCCCATTCTTCCCAGAGTCAGCCATAGCTCATTGTGATCCACACAGTCAAAAGCCTTTGCATAGTCAATGAAGCACAGATAGACATTCTTCTGGGGGTATTCTCTGCTTTCTGCCAAGATCTATCTAACAGTAGTTATGATATCCCTAGTACCACGACCTCTTCTAAATCCATCCTACACATCTGTCAGTCCTCTGCTGACATATTGTTCCAAACACTTGTGGATAATTTTCAGCAGAATCTTGCTTGCATGTGATATCAATTATATAGGTCAATAATTTCCACACTCTGTTGGGTCACCTTTCTTTGGAATGGGAACAAATATCCCTCTTTTCCAGTCAGTTGGCCAACTGGCTGTCCTCCAGATTTCTTGGCACAACTTAGTGAGCACATCCAGGGCAGTGTCTGTTGAAATATGTCAATTGGTATGCCATCAACTCCTGGAGCCTTGTTTTTTGCCAATTCCTTCATAGCAACTTGAACTTCCTCCTTCATCATCATACACTCTTGCTCATATGTTATTTCATGAAATTCCTCTGTGTCTGCCAATTCCTTCTGATAAAGTGACTCTGTGTACTCCTTCCATCTTCTTTTGATACTTCCTGGATTATTTAACATTCTACCCAGACTATCCTTAAGTATTGCCACCTGTGCCTTGAATTTGTTTTTCAAAGAAACACTGAACAAGTTCAGCCCTTTTGATTTTCTGACTCCAGCTCTCTGCACATTTCATTATAGTATCTGCTTTGTCGTCCTGAGCTGCCTTTTTTTTTTCGTTGCAGCTTGACACTTCTTTATTCTGGTAATGGTGGCCGCCCTGAGCTGCCTTTTGATATTCACTCTTGCTCTAATATACTTTGAGTCCATTCTCCACCAAATGCCCCCTAAAAATGTAAGCATTACTCTACTTAAATCTTTCAACAGTTGAATCTTGCAAATAGAATAAAATCTAAACTTGATATCATTCCCTAAAACTAGTTGATTTGACTCCTGCTTACATTTCAATTTCTCTGGCTATACTCACTTCCTTCTGCGTTAGATTTTTGGCTTTCCTTTCGTTCCTGGAACCCTATTATCCTTTCCTCCACTCAAGGACTTTTAAGAGAGCCCTTTCCTTTACTCAGAAAGTTCTTCCACACTCCATGTGGCCAATAGTATACTGATTAGCTCTTAATAACTCTTAAATGTCATCAAATCATGAAGACCACTCTCATGCCAACTGCAATGTACAAAAGAACCTTATTATCTTCCACTTCTTTTTCTTTGTAACACTTATAAGAATTTGTATTTACATTTTTATTTTTTGTCATCTGGTTGTTGTGTTCTCTCTCATAAGGCAGGAATCATGTTTTATCTACTGGTCATTTACCAGCACCTAACAAGTTTTTGGAACGTAACAAATGTCACTAGCAAATACAAGTTGAGTTACAAATAAATGGAATTAAGAATAAATGCCCAAAGGGCCCAGAAGAAAAATAATAATCTGGTTTTTTAAATGCTTATATTTTGGGGATTTCATTGGGTTTGAGTTGCAAAAGTATTAGTAAAAGTATGAGTTTACTGGAGAAGCGAGCACACATTATCACAAACTTCTTTCTTTTATTGGGAAAAACATATTGGGGTTACAAGGAGGTGAGGGTTGGGGGCAGAAGAGTGAGGATGGGCCAGGATGCAGTTGCAGAGCTGCAGAGTTTGGTCATTGGGGGAGCAGGCGAAGGAAATGATGAGGGTCCAGCAGGGACCAGATGCTACAGAGGAATGACAAGCATTTTCCAATGGTAATTAAACCAACTGTCTTATTGATTTGGGAATTGGATGCCGACTCTCTGGGTTCTTCATGCTGAACAGAGGCATAGATGTAAAGGGAGAAAGGGAGGACGCTTTATCTCCTTACTGGTGGTCTTGGGTTAAAGCTCCTTGTCTTCT